CTCTACCATTGGAATTTTTATGCTGATTTATATATTTTTTAATGTGTCTGTGCTTCTCCCTAAAGTGTGATATTGAGGGCAGGAACAGCCTTTAATCCTTTTCTTTTTTTTTTTTTTTTTTTGAGATGGAGTTTTGCTCAGTTGCCCACGCCGGAGTGTAATGGCGCGATCTTGGCTCACTGCAACCTCTGCCTCCTGGGTCTCCCAGGTTCAAGTGATTCTTCTGCCTCAGTCTCCTGAGTAGCTAGGATTACAGGCACCTGCCATCATGCCCAGCTAATTTTTGTATTTTTAGTAGAGACAGGGTTTCACCATGTTGGCCAGGCTGGTCTTGAACTCCTGACCTCAGATGATCCACCCACCTTGACCTCCTGAAGTTCTGGGATTACAGACGTGAGTCACCGCGCCCTGCCAGCCTTTAATCATTTTCTTAGAAGATGCTCAGATGCAGTTGCATTGCCGGACCTGGTCATGCATTTGAAAGCAATAGGATGTGTTCTCCTAATATACCTCTGAAACTGGTCCAATTGTCCCATAGAATTGATATTTATGGCTTCTTTTGAATAAACATGGAAATTGACCCTCCCAGTTTTGAAACTTGAGGAAGTTACATTTATCTTTTCTCAGTTTCTTTCTCAGGCATCCAACCATCAGGCCTCCTAGATAGTGTCAATAAACTGAAACTTACCAGATCACTGCATCTAGACAATAAGACATCAGACCCCTCACCTACCATGGTTGCCTAAGTGACTACCTGCTTCCTGTTGAACAGCTCCTCTTCCTTACCCCTCCCTAATTCCTGTTTTCCTGTATGTAGTTACATTTCTTCCCTGCTATATAATCCCCTAATTTTAGCCAGTCAGGGAGATGGATTTGAGACTGATCTCCCATCTCCTTGGCTGCAGCACCCAATTAAAGCCTTCTTAACTGGCAACACTCATGTCAGTGATTGGCTTTCTGTGTGGCAAGCAGCAGAACCTAGACCTAAGCCTTGGTGTTTTGGTAACAAATTGATAGGGTGAAAGAAAGGCTGGTTCATCAGTCAAGGTTTCGTCAAGGAAGCAGAACCACTGTGAATCCTATGGCACAGGGGATTTATCTAAATCTAATGCCGTTGTGGGAGGAGCTAGGAAAATAATGTCCAGGGAAAGGGAGTTGGAGGATCTGAGGAAGGTTACTAATCAGTCTTCCAAAAGCATTGGTGCTCTTGGACAAGTCAGAGCTTTTAGGGAAAACTGGACAGGCCCATATAGCTGCCAAGGGACTGCACAGGGGAGTTAGTGGAGAAATCTGTGGAAGGCCCTTGCCCTATTAGGTATACTAGGGCTATAAGTTAGCGCGGCCGGCAGTGGAAGAAGGGTTGAGTGCCAAGCAGGGGCGAGGGAGAACAGGCTGGAACCCTTTGGCATCCCTGCATCCATCTCTCACTGCAGCTTTTCTTTTCTTTGTTCTTTTTTTTTTTTTTTTTTGAGATGGAGTCTCGCTCTGTCATCCAGGCTGGAGTGCAGTGGTGCAATCTTGGCTTACTGCAACCTCCACCTTCTAGGTTCAAGCTGGGATTACAGGCGCCTGTCACCATGCCCGGCTAATTTTTGTGCTTTTTAGTAGAGACGGGGTTTTGCCATACTGGCTAGGCTAGTCTCAAACTCCTGACCTCGGGTGATTCGTCCGTCTCAGCCTCCCAAAGTGCTGGAATTACAGGCATGAGCAACCATGTACAGGCCTCTCACTGCATGTTACCCCGATGACTTTCAGAGAATAGTGGCTGCTGCTTTGTTAGTCTTCCAAATCTCACACAAATTTCTCCTTTGGCTAACTCTAACCCAGACCCATGTAGGAAAGGGGCTCCTTAAAAGCCTAATTCCTGCTGAGTTGAGTTGGCACAGAGCAAAATGACCCAGCTGGTAAATACCGCTTACCTAAAAAGCTGCTACCTATGTATTTTTTTCCAAGACCTACTATTTTATCCATTTTTAATGGATGCATTGAATCGTGTTATTTCTATACACTCAATGTGGTACCGTCTCTAATTGCCATAAAGAGAAAGACAATTAGAGACCAAAGACTTTTGCTAGAATCATATTTCTAATTCAGTAGTAGAGACAGAAGTGAAGATTATTTTCAGAGAATAATTTCTTTACTTTCTATTCTTTTTGATATGATGAGGAGTCTTGTAATGCAGTTTCCCACATGTTTTCCACAAGCTTAGTTCATGAATATCTAAGGATACTATCCTGTTTGTATGGCAAGTGCCATGGATATTAGAGTTAATGACATGACTCTAATGATTAGACTTCGATTATTTGAGCCGGGATGTAAAGTGTTTTACACTCCATTTGTGTATTGATTTTGTATGTTTATGCATGCAACTACTGAAATGTTTTAAATTATGTGCATTTTAAGTCAGTCTGTTACTTTATGAGCTACTAGAAAGCACAGTTTCCTTGTCTGTGTCAATGTCATCATTCCTGTAGGCACCGGACTGAAAAATATATTGTCCTCTTCAATTTATTCCTCTCTTTCATTCTTCATACTCAGTAAGTGATTTATGTCTTTTATTTATTATTATTATTTTTTGAGACAGAGTCTTGCTCTGTCACCCAGGCTGGAGTGTAGTGGCGTGATCTCGGCTCACTGCAACCTCCACCTCTCAGGTTCAAGCGATTCCCCTGCCTCAGCCTCCCAAGTAGCTGGGACTACAGGCACATGCCACCATGCCCAGCTAATTTTTGTAATTTTGGTAGAGACGGGATTTCATTATATTGGTCAGGCTGGTCTTGAACTCCTGACCTCAGGTGATCCGCCTGTCTTGGCCTCCCAAAGTGCTGGGCTTACTTACAGACATTAGCCACCATGTCCCGCTGGTATAGATATTTAAAAAATAAGAAAGTTACTTTCTGGGTCACAGGAAACTCATATTTATGTTACCTAACAAAGGCCTGAAGTGGAAATACTTCATGTTGTTGAGTAAACTGAGAGGTATAGGCTTTATATATCAGCCCTTAGTCATTATTTTTCTGCTAAAACATGATCGTCAGAAAATACCCAGAGCAGCACCCTGACTCCATTCTCTTCTCATTCTGGTCCACCCTACGCAGAACCTTCAGAATCATCTATCTCAAATACTCTCTGAGTATGGTAAAGACTGTAGAAGGAACTCTACTGCATATTTCAGCCTAAAATCCCAACTGGGCTACATGCTACCTTTCATAGCTGATTCCTCTACCTTGTCAACTTCTTCCAATCACATTGGTTGCGTTCACTCGCTGTTCCACAAAAGACTGCAGCCGGAGCAAGTCTTCGTTCCATATGCTTTCATCTTGACTTACCAATAGGATTGCAAGATCTTTGAGGGAAAGGATTTATGTCTTTTAAAATTTATTTCTGGCCGGGCGCGGTGGCTCAAGCCTGTAATCCCAGCACTTTGGGAGGCCGAGACGGGCGGATCATGAGGTCAGGAGATCGAGACCATCCTGGCTAACACGGTGAAACCCCGTCTCTACTAAACATACAAAAAACTAGCTGGGTGAAGTGGCAGGTGCCTGTAGTCCCAGCTACTCGGGAGGCTGAGGCAGGAGAATGGCGTGAACCCGAGAGGAGGAGCTTGCAGTGAGCTGAGATCCGGCCACTGCACTCCAGCCTGGGTGACACAAAAAAAAACCGCCCCAAAAAAAAAAAAAAAAAAAAAAAAAAAAAAAAAAAAAAAATTATTTCTTTTCCTCTCAGGACCTCATGTGAAGCATATGGTAAATAGTTAGTGACTGCTGCTTAACTCAGTTTATCCTGACCAATACTTAGAACAGCACCAGCCACAATTAGGTATTTAATAAGGATATTTTGGATTGAGACAAGGATCCTCTCAGAGTCAGAAATTATCTTGGTATGTCTTTTTTTTTTTTTTTTTAATTGAGTCTCTGTGACTGTAGTCAGTGACTTGGTGTGTCTTTTGTAATGACAACATTAATAATAAAGCCTTCAGATGACATGGTATAATGGAGTTCAAAAGGTCTAAGTCTGAATGCCAGCCCTGTCACTTATTAACTATGTGACCCTGGGCCGGGCACTGTGAACTACAGTTTCCTTGTAAAAGAATGATGACCATGAGGGCCTTAGAGTGGTTGTGAGGATTAAGTTATATGCCAAAAGTAAATTATCTAGCACAGCAAATGGCTGTAATAGATGTTCAATAAATGTTTGGTTTTTTTTTTCTTTTTTTTTGAGCCTGAGTTTTATTTCATTTTGTCACCCAGGCTGGAGTGCAGTAGTTCAACCTCTGCAAGTGCAACCTCTGCCTCTCAGGCTAAAGTGATTCTCCTGCCTCAGCCTCTGGAGTAGCTTGGATTACACGCATGTGCCACTACGCCCGGCTAATTTTGTATTTTTATTAGACATGGGGTTTTGCCATGTGGCCAGGCTGGTCTCAAACTCCTGACCCCAGGTCATCCCCCCGCTTTGGCCTCCCAAAGTGCTGGGATTACACGCGTGAGCAACCATGCCCAGCCCAATAAATGTTTTTATTACAGAAAATTTAAAATGTCTGTCACTTTTTATTTTATTGATTTTCTATTCGCTTCTTTACCTGGATCAGAAAGATAATTTCAAATTTCTTTGGAGGTTAGGTATTTTCTGATAATGAGAAGTTGGTAGACATGGTATTAACAGAGATGATTTTAAAAATATTTTTGGTAATTAACTGGACTATAAGAAAACAATACTAAACAAGCCAAATTACTCTTAGCTAAGGCTTGGAAATCTGGATAAAGAGGAAGAAGAGAAGGTAGAAAGAGTCCTTATATTAGTAGCATGACCTACTAACTCTTCTTTTAGCACCCATGGTGCTAAAAGGAAGTCCTGCCAAAGCACTTCTGCCTTGGTTAGAGAATATTCCAGTGTTGGGTTATGAACCTCCATGGCAAAGCCACAGCACTGACTCTCTGACCAGCTGGAATTGGCTGCAGGATGGGTATGGCCGAAAGGAGACCACTGTGAATTAACCAGGAGTGAGAACATCAAGACTGATCTTTATTTCCCCCAGAGGCAGAGTGATAAAATGGCATTCATCTCTATTTAAATTCTATCCCATCTTTCTTCTTGTCCTTCCTCTCAAGGTTGCTGGCAGAGGTGGTTGGGGCTATGTGCCTGGAGTGAAGATTCTGCCCATTGGTCAAGAGACCTCCCTCTCAGATGCTGGCTCTGCCCCTGCCTTTGGGGGTCGACCCTTGTACTCGCAGGACCTTAGGTGACTCTGTAAGTATAGTAAAATGCAGTTAATCTGATGTTATCATTCAATCTTTTTTAAAAAGTGGAGCAACCAGTTGACAAGGTAAGACTTTTTCCTGACATCTGTGGTTGTTTATTTAAAAGAACAGACAATATTTAAAATGAAAGACAAACTCAGAGGTTCAAATGCATCCAAAAAGTTGAAGCAGCAGTGACATATACATCCAAAGATGATTGTAGCTATTTAAAGCCATATCTTGTTTCTCTAGGCAAAAGACAACATTGGTTATAAAGCATATACCTTCTTTGCAGTATAAGGCAATGAAAGATAATCCTATTATTCTCTTTCTCAAAAGTCAGTGGTCTTCAAAGTCATAGCAAAAAGATTATAAAGTGAGACTAGAGAATACTTTCCTCATAAAATTTCGGAAAAAACTTTGCATCACATTCCATAATATTCCCTTGTCAATTATTTAAAAAGTTTTCTTAGCAAGCCTGCTTCTATGTTGCTCCCTCTGCTTTTCATCCTTATCATTAAGGTCAGAGCTTCTGTAAACTAAGAATTACTCAATCTAGGTTCAGCAAAAATAAACAGAATACTCCTCTATGAAAGCCTGTTGCAAAGTGTAGTTAATGAGTAAACAGAAGTTACTGACTTGTGAGAAACACTCTCACTCAGAAAGGGAAGTGGGAGTACTTATTTGATATAACTAGCCCATTTTGGGAACAAAAAGTCAATTAATTTATGTCCCCCCTTTCCTCCCTTTGGCCAACCTTTCTTTCTTTCTTGTTACTTCTCTTTGACATCTGGAAGTTTTTCTTATTTCTATTCCATTAATGAGTTCACCATTTAATCTCTTGACTTCCCTTATTTTCACACACATTCAAAGACCAGGTGCCACAGTTTATTAAGAATGTCAAGCATCTTTGTATGAAAATTCATGACATATGTTGCAAGGTACATCATTGTTATCAGAGAAGCCAACTGCAGCGGGCCATAAGGCACATTAGTTTGTTCATTTACTGTGCTAGTTTAGAAAACTTGGGGAGAAGATTCAGAAAAGATTCAGAATTGTGGCACACAATTTTATGCAGTCCATGGAGACTGATGGTGTCTGCACCGAGAGTCTCACCACTTCTCTTTAGATTGTTCTGAAGCTGCACAGTTTTTGGTGCATTATATCAGAATATTTTCATTTGGACAATGGAGAGAGGGATATTGATACTTTAATAAAATATTAAAGAAATACCCATAGCTGCATACATTAATAAAGGGCATCAGCAAGATTGAAATCATAAGATTCTTTCATTTTTGTGGTTGGGTTATTTTCACTAACTGACTTCCAGGGGCGTCCAGGACATTTGGGGGAGGTTGTGTCTGGAAAATCTGATATCGGGTTAAATGAAAGCCCATTTGATTCTATCTGGATGTCAGGGATCCAATCGTCATCACTCTCTGTGGGAGCTGGTGGTGTAGGAGGCATCATAGTTACAATGAGATCAGAGTCCTGAAAGTCAGGAGAGGTATCTGCTACACCTGGCTGGGCTAGGGAAGGGATGGGTGTTGGCCCTTCTGTCTTCTCTTGTATCTGTGCAGAAGGTGTAGTACTGTCTTCAGAAGAGCTTGCCAAATGCTCTGTTTTCCAACCATTGTGCTTTCCATTCTTTTTGCCTTTATTTTTATGTTTTCCATGGCCATGACCATGCTTATGCTTATGTCCATGGTCAAGGACATGGCCCCCTTGGTGTTCAAGATCATCATCAAGTTTGAACTTATGTCCATGACCAAGACCATGCTGCTGTTGGTGTCCACGGCCGAGGCCATGTCCCCTTTGATGCCCATGCCCTTGGTCACGTTCATGTTTATGGCCATGGCCGAGATTATATTTTCTTTGTTTTTCATGGCCCCCGTCATGTCTATGAGTATGCCCTTGTTCTTTTCCTGACTCCCGCTCTTCATCTTGTGCAGGTGCCATGGAAGTGTGGGGTGGACTTACAGTTGTTTCTTCTTTTATTTCCCCTACTTGTGTTGATCGGAAAGGTGAAAAACCTGGAGGCCTTTTCATCAATGAGATCTAAACAGAAAATATTAAGATGAAAGTATTACTGCAAAAATCATGCTATCAATGAAGGAAAGAAACACTGAGATCTGGCAGTGCTATCTTAGTTTACAATGGGGGAGGTGTTTTCCAGAGTTTAAATACTGTATTAATATTCCAGAAAGGATGAATAATATTTTTTTGTCTTTTGATTGACCTTAAAATTTGTGGACATTGATTATTGTTCTTAATAATACTGTAAAATGGCCAGGCACAGTGGCTCACGCCTGTAATCTAAGCACTTTGGGAGGCCAAGGCGGGCAGATCACTTGAGGTCAGGAGTTTGAGACCAGCCTGGCCAACATAGTGAAACCCCAACTCTACTAAAAATACAAAAATTAGCTGGGTGTGGTGGCACATGCCTGTAATCCCAGCTACTCAGGAGGTTGAGGTAGGAGAATCACTTGAACCCAGTACGTGGAGGTTGCGGTGGGCTGAGATGGTACCACTGCACTCCAGCCTAGATGACAGTGACTCTATCAAAAAAAAAAAAAAAAAAAAAAAAAACCCAAGACAAACCAAAACAAACAAACAAAAAAAACCCAAACAACAAAAAACACTGTAAAATAAGCTGAGCATTTTTTCTTCATCTGGAAAAATTGGGTGGTTAAGCTAGCTAATCTCTAGGGTATCTTCTTCTTTTTATTTTTTTTTGAGATGGAGTCTCACTCTGTTGCCCAGGCTGGAGTGCAGTGGCGCGATCTCGGCTCACTGCAAGCTCCGCCTCCCGGGTTCACGCCATTCTCCTGCCTCAGCCTCCTGAGGAGCTGGGACTACAGGTGCCTGCCACCACGCCCGGCTAATTTTTTTGTAGTTTTTAGTAGAGACAGGGTTTCACCGTGTTAGCCAGGATGGTCTCGCTCTCCTGACCTCGTGATCCGCCTGCCTAAAGTGCTGGGATTACAGGTGTGAGCCATGACGCCCGGCCAACTCTAGGGTATCTTCTAGGCCTATGTTTATGCAAGCACAGTATTTAATTGTTGATACTACTCTTATTACCACCATCACTGCTTTTATCCTAAAAGGCCCTAAGTGGCTTTATGAACTGAATATATGGGGAGCATGTATCTATGATCACTTTGTTGTACTGAAGTACACTGAGACATATTTGCAAACTTGAAATGCAGCCTTAGTACAATGTTTGTGTTAGACTATCTACATACTTACACACAACAAAAGACCAAATCAGAAAAGAGGGAGAAGAGGCAACTTGCATCAAAGAAGTCGATTTGTGGATTGATTCTACCTACACTTTTGCTACCTGTGAGAATGTGTTAATTGGAGGCAGTGTTTGGTGATGCAAAGAACATGGTCATTGCAGTCAAGCCAGACCCTACTGGTAATCAGCATTGTGATGAAAAGGGTAGACTCTGAATTGACTAAGATTTGAATCCAAGTGCCACCAGCTTCATTTTTGTCTTCTGTAAAATAGAAATAATAGCAGCACCTGCCTCACAGAGTTATAAGGAGGACTGGAAAATGTGGGTGAAGCCTTCAGTATAGTGCCTGGGACAGAGGAAGCATTTGATAATGTCATTATTCACTCAGGACCTCAGAGTCTTTCTAATTTTTAGTGTCTCATCCTTGACAATAAGGAAAGTGTTATTATGTCCCAGAGTTCTTTTAAGACTTAAAATAGAAAAATGACATCAAGAATGCTTCTCAAACTTGATTGATGCATATGAATCCCCCGGGGATCTCGTTAAAATTCGGTAGCTGTGAAGTGGGGTTTGCAAGTCTGAATTTTTCTTTTCTTTTCTTTTCTTTCTTTCTTTTTTTTCTTTGAAGACACAGTTTCGCTCTTTGTTGCCCAGGCTGGAGTGCAGTGGCAGGATCTTGGCTAACTGCAACCTCCACCTCCTGGGTTCAAGAGATTCTCCTGCCTCAGCCTCCCGAGTAGCTGGGATTACATGCATGCGCCACCACACCTGGCTAATTTTTGTAGTTTTAGTAGAGACAGGGTTTTCACCATGTTGGCCAGGTTAGTCTTGAACTCCTGACCTCAGGTGATCTGCCTGCCTTGGCCTCCCAAAGTGCTGGGATTACAGGAATGAGCCACCACTCCCAGCCATGCATTTTTCACATGGTCCTTGCATGTCAGCAAAATGCAGTGGAGTGTTGTATCTGGCCTCAGGTACACCTGGCATAGCCAGTGTTGCTCCCCCACAGCAGGACTGCAATGCACTAGGAGAGAGTCTATAGAAGCTTCACTGAGACACTGACAATGTGTGAGAAGTGATCAGGAGGATTGTTACTCTCCTTTCTAGCCATTAAACAGACATCAGCACAGAAGTGTGAGAGTTACTCCCCATTTAAAAAGGTAGCTCCCCAATTCATTTCGGTAATGGTTCATTTTCAGCCCCCAAATATGGATTTTCAGAATGAGCAGAACCAACCCCACGCTGACTGTAATTAGAATCATACCATTCCCAGTGGTTGACAGTTGACAGTAGGGTAAATTTTTTTCTCCCAGGGTACCACATAAACTTCAGCATTGCAATCTAGGCTTTGCTATCCATAAAAACAGAAATCAAAAGAGACAGTGTTATTCATGAGATACTTGAACAAATGATTCTAAAAACATCCAATAGGCTTCCAGTGAAAAAGTAGACAGGTGCATGACTACTCACACCAAGTTTTTTGGTCTCACAGCTTTCGGTTAACCCTTCATTACTTTCCTTGGAACATGTGGTTTCCCTGGCCACAAAGTCAATAAAATATTTCTTGCCAGCCACCACCTGAAAAATTAATTAGTACAAAGTAAACACTTAAAAATATTTGCATAATAAATCATTTATCTTCAAGAAATTTTAAGGGAGAATCTTGAAATTTTAATTGACCAACTTACAGAGTTGCATTTAAAAAGTACAAATGTTTGGCATTAAAGCTTGGCATGCATATTTAAAATACTTGGCTGTCAGTTGCTCCCCTTTCCTTTTCTAAATGGGGGAAGAAATAAGCAAGCTATAATTTTTTTTTTTTTTTTTTTTTTTGAGACGGAATTTGGCTCTTGTTGCCCAGGCTGGAGTGCAGTGGCATGATCTTGGCTCACCGCAACCTCTGCCTCCTGGATTCAAGTAATTCTCTTGCCTCAGCCTCCTGAGTAGCTGGGATTATAGTTGCCCGCCACCATGCCTGGCAAATTTTGTAGTTTTAGTAGAGATGGAGTTTCTCCATGTTGGTCAGGCTGGTCTCGAACTCCCGACTTCAGGTGATCCACCCGCCTCGGCCTCCCAAAGTGCTGGGATTACAGGCATGAGCCACCATGCCTGGCCTATAATCTTTATTTATTTATGTATTTATTTGAGTTTTATTGTCCAACAGCTGTTAAATTCACTGGTAATTCAAGGACTCAAGTTGTAATATCTAAGAATCTAACAGGAATAGGAAGAAAAACTTAAAATGTTTTTAAACATGCCTTATTGTCCTGCCAAATCTTGAATTGGTGAAATACTGAGTTAGTACTACTATAGAAATTATGCGGATTAAATTTTGTAATTAGAAAAATTATTTGGGGTTTTTATTGTTCTCTTACTATTTTTAATATTAAGAAATTATTTTAGGCTGGGCGTGGTGGTTCGTGCCTGTAATTCCAGCATTTTGGGAGGCTGAGGCAGGTGGATCACTTAAAGCAGGCTGTTCAAGACCAGCCTGACCAACATGGTGAAACCCCACCTCTACTAAAAATATGAAAATTAGATGGGCATTGTGGTGCACACCTGTAATCCCAGCTATTTGACAGGCTGAGGCAGGGGAGTTACTTGAACCCAGGAGGTGGAGGTTGCGGTAAGCCGAGATCATGCCACTGCACTCCAACCTGGGTGACAGAGTGAGATTCCTTCTCAAAAAGAAAAAAAATTATTTTAATCTCTATCAACAGTTTTAATCACTACTCAATGCTATCTTCCATTAAATATTTTGTGGCCCAATTTCTAAACCAAATTATTTAGTATTAAATTGTAGTATTTAAACAGTGACTCCTGCCTGTAATCCCAAGCACCTTGGGGGCCTAAGGCATGTAGATCACCTGAGGTCAGGGGTTTGAGACCATCCTGGCCAACATATAGTAAATCCCTATCTCTACTAAAAATACTAAAACTTAGCCAGGCATGGTGGCAGGCATCTGTAATCCCGGCTACTTGGGAGGCTGAGGCAGGAGAATTGCTTGAACCTGGGTGGCGGAAGTTACAGTGAGCCAAGATTGTGCCACTATACTCCAGCCTGGGTGACAGAGTGAGACTCTGTTTTGGGAAACAGAACAAAACAAAAACAAACAAACAACAAAAACACAACTAAACTAAAACAAATAAATAAATATTCACCAAAACTCAGTATGAGGAAGACCTTTCTTAGATGAAAAGCAGAGGAAAGAAATCTAAAGGAAGGGAAAATAGTAACACTTGACTAGAGAAAAATGAGAACTGCTTCTGAAAAATCACAATCAGCAAAATAGAAAGGCAAGCTGGGAAAACTATGATATAGAATCAATATCTGTATGCATATAAAGCCCAACACTAAAAAATGGACAAAAGCCGTGAGCGGGTATTTCAGAGAAGAAGTTAAAATGGTCATTAAGCCTGAAAAAAAGTTTAACTTCATTAATAAACAAAAACATGCACATTAAAAAAGCAATGAGACATCATTGTTAGCCTTCCATGCAGGCAAAGATGAAAACAAAAATTGATGATACGTGGCATTGGCCAGGCATAGGAATCAAGCAGCCTCAGTCACTGCTGGTAGGAAGAGAATTTAAATTAAGATCCTCAACTGGTGTCTTTTTGCTTTTATTTTTTGAGACGGAGTCTCACTCTGTCATCCAGGCTGGAGTGCGGTGACACCATCTTGGCTCACTGCAACCTCCACCTCCTGAGTTGAAGTGATTCTCCTGCCTCAACCCCCGGAAGTAGCTGAGATTACAGGCAAGTGCCACCATGACCAGCTAATTTTTGTATTTTTTGTAGAATGTAGAATGTATTTTTTGTAGAATGTTGGCCAGACTGGTCCCAAACTCCTGACCTCAGGTGATCCACCCGCCTCTGCCCCCGAAAGTGCTGGGATTACAGGCGTGAGCTACCACACCTGGCCTCAACTGGTGTCTTATACCCAGGTGATGTGAGTGTAAATTGGCATCATTGCAAATATTTAGTGATTTTGGCAATTTGCATCAAGTCTTAGATGTATACGTATTCTTTGACATTTCTAGGACTTTGTCAAGGGAAACATTTCTCCATGTGCACACACAGATCTTGGAAGTTTATTCATCTCAGCAGAGGCAGACAGGAGCATCAACAGCCTTGGGGACAGCAGCAGTGGTGGCAGGGCAAAATAAAACGTATATGAAACTACAATCACTAACGTGTGAAAATGGAAGATTCAGAAAGTGTTTGGTATCTGAAATGTGAACCCAACATGGAATCAACATGCATCCAAACAGGACTAAATGTGCAAACCCAGGGCAAGATTAAAACTATAAAATATATATTTAGCAATTTGGCAAATTGGTCATTTGGAGACTAGCTTTTAGCAAATTCATCATATGTTTAATTGATTTCCAGTCAATTGGCTGCTTCCACCAAGGCTGCCTTGGGTGACTATGTCCAAGCAGCCAAATTGCTCTCTTTAAATGCAAAAATCAGTTAAGATTCATCTCTCTAAAGTAAGTTTGAAATTCTCACAATATGCAGATTCACTTGGCAACTAACTGATGGGTTACCTCTTTGTGTCTCCCTGGCATCCTTAATGTAGACACACACACATACTAGAATGTTGATTTGTTAATCTACAGAAAAAACTGTAACTACTAAGAAGACTAGATATTCATGCTTGAGAATGAGTGGTTCTGTTTTTGATGGCAAACCTCTGACATACAATACGTGGTGGCCTATTCCTACAACATTCAGAATAGAGAATAAGGGAGCTGGGAGCAGTGGTGTGCGCCTGTATCCTAGCTACTTGGGAGGTTGAGATGGGCACATTGCTTGCTCCCAGGAGTTCGAGTCCAGCCTGGGCATCACAGTGAGACCCCCATCTCTCTCTCACACACTCTCTCTTTTTTTGTTTGCTCTGTTGCCCAAAGGGCCTTGCTCTGTCACCTAGGCTGGAGTGCAGTGGCATGATCATAGCTCACTGCAGTCTTGACCTCCCAGTCTCAAGCAATCCTCCCACTTCAGCTTCCCAAAGTAGTTGGGACTACAAGCACATACCACCATACCCAGCTAATTTTTTAATTCTTTTTTTTTTTAATTATTTTTTGAGATGGAGTTTCACTCTTGTCGCCCAGGCTAGAGTGCAATGGCGTGATCTCGGCTCACTTCACCTCCGCTTCCCGAGTTCAAGTGATTCTCCTGCCTCAGCCTCCCGAGTAGCTGGGATTATAGGCACCCACCACCATGCCCAGCTGATTTTTGTATTTTTAGTAGAGACGGTTTTTCATCATGTTGGTCAGGCTGGTCTCGAACTCCTGATCTCAGGTGATTCACCTGCCTTGGCCTCCCAAAGTGCTGGGATTACAGGCATGAGCCACTACGTCTGGCCTTTAATTCTTTTCTTGTAGAAACAGGGTCTTGCTATGTTGCTCAGGCTGGTCTCGCTCCTGGGCTTAAGTGATCCTCCTGTCTTGACATCCCAAACTACTGGGATCACAGGCATGAGCTGCCATGTCTGGCCCCTGTCTCTCTTAAAAAACAACAATAAAAAAACAAAGAAAGAATTTCACAAAAAAGCAAAAATATAAAGTGAGAATTAAAAGCTGACAAGAGCATGAATGGCATAGGTTGGCATTCCTTTCAAGTAAACCTAACATGGTCATGTGGCAATGAAATCCGAGAGAGAGGGTGGCCATGTCTGGGATAGAAACCAGTGCTCAAGCAGCGGAGAGATCAAAGTGTCAGTATTGATTTACTTTAATCTAGTTTGTTTACTTTTTTCAGTTACAAAAGTAACACAGAAAATTAGAAAGTTTAAAGTAGCCTGTTATTCCATTATCTAAAAATCTCCCCTATGACTATGAGACATTCGTTTTTTTGTTTGTTTCCAGACGGAGTCTGACTCTGTCGCCCAGGCTGAAGTGCAGTGGCACGATCTCGGCCCACTGCAACCTCCGCCTCCCGGGTCCAAGCCATTCTTGTGCCTTAGCCTCCTGAGTAGCTGGGATTGCAGGTGTGTACCATCACACCCTGCTAATTTTGGAATTTTTATTAGGTTGATGCAAAAGTAATTGCGATTTTGCCATTACTTTGGCAAAAACCACAACTACTTTTGCACCAACCTAATAGTGTAGATGGAGTTGCACCATGTTGCCCAGGCTGGTCTCAAACTCCTGACCTCAAGCAACCCACCCACTTCGGCCTCCCAAAGTGTTGGGATTACAGGCGTGAGCCCCCCCCTTTTTTTTTTTTTAACATTATTTTCTGTCCTTTAAAATAACACAACTGATAACATCATGCATATTCAATTTTATGACTCCTTTTTTTCATTGAATATTAAAACACAAGACATCCCCCATATCAAGAGCACCTCACAAAGATACTTTTAAATTGCTGCTTAACACTCTATTCTGAGGATATGCCAGGCATGATCTAATCATTCTCATATTAATCATTTTGACAGTTTACTATTTTTGCTGTTATACTTAAAACTGCAGTGAATAGCATTGTATATAAAGACTCCTATTTTAGATTCCTAGAAATTCAGTTCTGAGTCAAAAACATGAATTTTTTAGTGAGAATTTTTTCACCAGATTATGAGGATTATGTTGGATTGCTGTAACAATTTGGCTCTATTTTGATTATTTTTCTTTAGCTTGTATTTAGGGAAGCCAATTTTGAGTCCCTAAAACAGGGATCTGTCCATAATCATATCAATCAGAGACCATTGGAGTTGCTAGAAATATAGGCTCTTCTCTTTTTTGAGACAGAGTTTTGCTCTTGTTGCCCAGGCTGGAGAGCAATGGCGCAATCTCAGCTCATTGCAACCTCCACCTCCTGGGTTCAAGTGATTCTCCTGCCTTAGCCTCCCGAGTAGCTGAGATTACAGGCATGCATCACCACGCCCGGCTAGTTTTGTATTTTTAGTAGAGACGAGGTTTCTCCATGGTCAGGCTGGTCTCGAATTCCTGACCTCAGGTGATTTGCCTGTCTCGGCCTCCCAGAGTGCTGGGATTAGAGGCATGAGCCACTATGCCTGGCAAATGGGGACTCTTCTAATACAGTTACTCATTTTACAAATGGGGCCACAAAGGCTTAGAACGTTTGAATGACCACCCAGAGTGATCTGGGATGTGAGTGGCTGATGCTATGGTGGAACTGAGTCTCCTGACTCCCAGGAGACACTCCTGTCAATCTTCTATTGACAGGGCATGAAAGGAAGATGAATCCCCAGAGGGTACATTTGCAGGAGAGCGGGATCCCAGGCAGAGAGAACAGTGGGTGGAAGACATGGAGGCAAGAGAGTTTGGAGCCTGGGCAGTGATGGATTGCCTGATGTGGCCAAGCCCAAGGCATTATGTGGTATTATAATGAGAGATGAGTCTAGAAGGACATAGAGTAAGTCTTGCTGGCCCTAGCTCTGAATTTTATTAATTGTATCACTGTTGCTATTGTATTTATTTATTTATTTATTTATTTAGACAGAGTCTCACTGTGTTGCCAGGCTACAGTGCAGTGGTGCAATCTTGGCTCACTGAAACCTCTGCCTCCCAGGTTCAAACGATTCTCCTGCCTCAGCCTCCTGAGTAGCTGGGACTATAGGTGCACACCACCACGCCCAGCTAATTTTTGTATTTTTAGTAGAGACAGGGTTTCACCATGTTGGCCAGGATGGTCTCGATCTCTTGACCTTGTGATCCACCCGCCTCGACCTCCCAAAGTGCTGGTATTATAGGTGTGAGCCACTGCGCCCAGCCGCTATTGTATTTATATAGCGTTTTACAGTTTGAAAAAGTGATATGACATATATTAACTTATTTGATCCTCACCTCAGTCCTTCACATATAGAAAACAGAATGTTGTAAAACACCTGTCCAGGATCAAGCATACAGGGAGACTGGCACTTAATTAAATCGAATGCACCAAATCACATTATCAAATGTATCATTTCCTAATACAGAGCCAAGATCAGTGGCAAAATTAGTAAGCAATTTGCACATAGACTATAGTGTTACTGCTTTTGTAGCATAATTGACAAACCTGTACTCTTGCTTTTTTCACATTGTCAATCTTGAAATAGAAAGTTGCGTTATTCTCTGCATTAAGCTTTGTGATGGTATGAGTCAGTGTCTCCTCCAGCTCTGGGCTGTTGGTGGGTATATCTCTGGGGCAGCCCACGCAAATCTTGGAAGGTGGTTGTACAAAATCCTCCCCTGAAAGGATCAGGTTTTAAGTCAGCATGTACACTGAAGTAGCAGCCTGGCCTAGCATCCCTCCTGCACAGGAACCAGCATCCACATGTATAAAGGGCCACATGGGAGCCCAGGCCCAGTAGTGAGTGGGTGAAGGTTGTCTGTCTGACTTTCACTTCCTGCCTCTCTTCTTTTCCCCTCCTCAGAGCACAGTGTATTTAGGGAAACATTTTCAATATGAAGGTGCGAGTAACTCAATCAAAATGCTACACTTTTCCTGAATTTTTGCATTTTTGATGGAAACTGTAAAAAGCAATGCTTAATTTAAAGGAGTGACTCTCATGAGAAAAATTTAAGTGCTGTGGTTCTGGTGAACAGGCAGCTTCAGACTACTCATGGTGGAACACATACAAGTGTTTTCCAAGTATGAGAAAAGCACACCCTTGTTATAAGAAACACTGACCTGACCACAAACTCAACACTATCTCCATTTCCTCCCATTATAACATGCAGGAAAAAAAACACCTTAATTGAAAGGGTTTTATTCTGAGTACTAAGAAATAAAATACAGGTCTCTCCAACTTACAACATCGGACTTAAGGACAACTTTTAGAGAAGAGAGACCAGTTGGCATTGTACCCAAAGGCCAACTTTACCCAGGGGTCATACATTTCCCTTCTGTCTTCATAGCCCATTCTGGCCACTTGCAGAGCAGTCTGAGCTGCAGCACAACTGGGCAGGGAAGGGGTCCAGTGATCTCATCAAGGGATGCATCTGTGTCTGCAGGTTACACAGACTTTGGAGTATATCATGGGAGCCAAAACACAACTTATAGGAAAAGACCCAGCCAGTTGTCTGGGACCGCTATTCCTCTATTGTGGTGCCAACGTGTGTTATTCCTTACCTGGATAAATGTCACACTTCTGTGAGAAGGAAGCAATTCGTAGCTGAGTATCGATGTATGCATTATCTGTACATTCACCAGTATCCTGGTTTTTAAAAAGCATATAAGTGCTCAGTTGAAAACATTTCTTAGAGTCTTTAAAGTAAACAACTAGTAAAATTGAAAAACAGGGATGTGTACTTTCCAAATCATTGCGTAGCAAAGAAAGAAACAAAACATAGTCTTACTGTGAAAGAGATACTAAAATACAGTTAGGTATTAGTATCAATAGCATCAACAAATACATGCATATACACAAGCACATGGAAAGCAGGAAATAAGATAATAAGAAGATCTAGTATAGAAATAACAGCCACGTAACTAAAAAGGTAAATTTCTAAAAAAAGAAGGTAAGACTTTCAGACTGTCAAAACACCAGATCAATGTATTACGGTTTCAAGAATCATCTTATAATAGAAACAATGTATAGAGCTTAAAAATAAAAGATGAACAAAGCTACATGGGACAAATATAAACATAGCTGGAACTAGAGTATTAGTAATATTGGACAAAGTAAAATTCATGATAACAAAAACTTTTATTATCAAAAAAAATTTTATTATGATAATAAAATTCATGATAAAGGTAGTAAAAATGATAATTTTATTTTTCAAAAGCATGGACTGGAAGACATGGAATCAAAATACATAAAGTAGAAAAAATTACACATATGAAGAGAAATGGATAGAAATAATCATGGTGGGAAAATTTAGTATGCAATTACAAATCTAAGAAAGGGCAAGAGAAAAAATAATAAGACCATAGAAGATTTGAATAACTTGATAAAGATTTATTTAAATGGTATTTTCATATGCTACATATGATTTAAAATACTTTCATAAGTATCATAAAATTTGTATGTATTTGTGTGTGTGTGTGTATATATATATATATATATTTTTTGAGACAGTGTCTCTCTCTGTCACCAAGGCTGGAGTGCAGTGGTGCAATCTTGGCTCATTGTAACCTCTGCCTCCTAGATTTAAGTGATTCTCCTGCCTCAGCCTCCCAAGTATCTGGGATTACAGGTGTGTGCAACCACACCCAGCTATTTTTTTTGTTTTTTTTTAGTAGAGATGAGGTTTTGCCATGTTGGCCAGGCTGGTCTCGAACTCCTGATCTCAAGTGATCCACCCACCTTGGCCTCCCAAACTGCTGGGATTACAGGCATGAGCTATCGTGCCCAGCCAGTATCATACAAATATTGTTCATTGTTTTTACACCAGGTCACAAAAAGATTCAATAAATTTTACAAAGCATAAACAATACAGAACATGTTCTTTCACCTCAGCACCAAAAAGAAAAAATAATCTGTAAAAATTAATAGCATGTTTAAACAAACAAAAATAATATACTTGGAAATATAAACAAGCTTGCCAATAAAGTTAGGGTCTTTCTTGGATAAGGAAAAAAAAAAAAAACCAAAATAACAAAAATGAGAATTCCATATAATGTTATCAGAACAGCATTTTAAGTTAATTTTTGACTTGACATGAGTTCATAGTTTAAAAACAGCGGGAGAAAAACAAATAGAAAAACCTATGCCTAGGTCCCCAGAAGTGAGGGGAAAAAAGAATAATAAACAAACATAGCCAAGTGCTGTGTGATAAATGTGATAAAACATGTATAGCAAAAAATCTGCCATTTTAAAGGATACAGTTTGGTGGCATTAATTCCATTCACAATGTCATGCAACCCACCACCATTTCCAAAAGTTTTCATCACCCCAAGCAGAAATTCTCTACCCACTGAGCAATACACCCCCATTCTCTCCTCCTCTCCACTCACAAATTCACATCTACTCACTGTCTCTATGAATTTGCCTATTCCAGATGTTTCATATAAGTGGAATCACACAATATTTTGTGTGTGTGTCTGGCTTATTTCACTTAACATCATATTTTCAAGCTTCATCTACATTGTAGCATGTATCAGAATTTCATTGTTTTTAGAGGGTGAACAGTGTTTCATTGTGTATATATATGATAGCACATTTTCTTTTTTTTTTTTTTTTTGAGACGGAGTCTGGCTCAGTCACCTAGGCTGGAGGTGCAGTGGCACGATCTTGGCTCACTGCAAGCTCCGCCTCCCAGGTTCACACCATCTCCTGCCTCAGCCTCCCGAGTAGCTGGGACTACAGGTGCCCGCCATCACGCCCAGCTAATTTTTTGTATTTTTAGCAGAGACGGGGCTTCACTGTGTTAGCCAGGATAGTCTCGATCTCCTGACCTCGTGATCTGCCCGCCTCGGCCTCCCAAAGTGCTGGGATTACAGGCGTGAGCCACCGCGCCCGGCCTGATAGCACATTTTCTTTATCCATTCACCTGTTGGTGGACACTTGGGTTGTTTCGACTTTCTGGCTATTATGAACTTTGCTGCTATAAATATTCACGTGTAAGCATGTGTTTGAATATGCGTTTCCATTTCTTTTGGGCATATACCTAAGAGAGCAACTTCTGGATCATATAGTAATTCTATAGTTAAGTTTTTCAGAAATTGCCAAATTATTTTCTATAATGATTGCAGCATTTTACAGTCCTACTTGCAATGCACAGAAGTTCTAATTTCTCCATGCCCTTTCTAATACTTGTTATTTTGTGAACAAAAAGAGGTTTTTTATATATTCTGCTTGTTAAACTCTTGTCAGATACATGATTTGCAAATATTTCCTCTCATTCTGTGAGTTGTATTTTTACTCCCTTAACAGCATTCTTTTTACTTTTTTCTCAATAAAATAAATGCATGCTTAATTAGAAAACTCGGGAGGTATCAAAAAGTTCCAAAAAATATAAAGAATCAGAAAAAGCGGCTGGGCGTGGTGGCTCGCACCTGTAATACCAGCACTTTGGAAGGCCAGGGTGGGTGGATCACCTGACATCAGGAGTTCGAAACCAGCCTGGCCAACATGACGAAACCCCCATCTGTACTAAAAATACAAAAATTCGCCGGGCATGGCAGCGGGCGCCTGTAATCCCAGCTACTCAGGGAGGCTGAGGCGTGAGAATCACTTGAACTCTGGAGGCAGAGGTTGCAGTGAGCTGAGATTGCACCACTGCACTCCAGACTGGGTGACAGAGCAAGACCCCTTCTCAAAAAAAAAAAAAAAAAAAAAAAAAAAAAAAAAAGAAAAAGCACCCACAATTCCAAATGAAAGTTAACTACATTCTATATTTTGTCGTAATTTGTTTTCCATCACTTTTTATATTTACATTTATTTTACATATTTAAATAAATCTGCATGTATAGCTTTGTATCCCACTTTTTTTGTTTTTTACTTAACATTGTAACCATTTTACTATGTTACTAAAAATTAAAAATTTTTGATAGCTGTATCATGTTAAACTCTTGCAAATATTTTCTCTCATTCTGTGGGTTGTATTTTTACTCTGTATGGATATACTGTAATTTACTTAACCATTCTCTAATGTTGCATAAACAATTTATTTACAATATTTTTCTATTAAAAAACAACTGAAATTAACATCTTATGGTCTGGATTTCCCATATAAAAGCATTAGAAGCAGAATTACTAGATCAAAGGACTTGCAGCAATTCCTTGCCTAAAGCACAGTCTTCTGCTCAAATGCAAACATCCCTGGGCACATATCATGTCTTAGCCATCTTAACATTCACTGGCTACTACTACCTTGAGATACACCATTTTAATGTGATTTTGGTTCAGATAACAAGATAAGATGCTAGGAAGGACCACTAAGGGCTAGAGACTCAGGGTCTGTTTATTAAAGATAAAGGTAGGGAAGGGAAGATGAGAAAACAAGCAGAGAAAAGTTTGACATGAAGAATAACCCTGGGTAGAGCAAGGGAATACCATATGGGCATTGAGCACACGGGGAAGAAAAGGAAATAGGAAAGTGTGGAGACATAATGAAGATACACTTGACAGTTCAAGCATTTTGTCTATTCGTCGTCCCTGGTTACACTCTGTAAATACTTCCTGCTGGCCAGGCGCGGTGGCTCACGCCTGTAATTCCAGCACTTTGGGAGACCGAGGTGGGCGGGTCACCTGAGATCAGGAGTTCCAGACCACCCTGGCCAACACGGTAAAACCCTGTCTCTACTATAAATACAAAAATTAGCTGTGCATGGTGGTTGGCGCCTGTAGTCCTAGCTACTTGGGAGGCTGAGGCAGGAGAATAGCTTGAACCTGGGAGGTGGAGGCTGCAGTGAGACGAGATTGCACCACTGCACTCCAGCATGGGGAACAGAGTGAGACTCTGTCTCAAAAAATAAATAAAATAAAATAAAGTTATAAAAAAATCTTTAATGCTAGCTGTGCAGATTCTTTGGCCAGGTAGGTAAGGCAGCTTGACCAGTGATGTGAGCTTTAGGCTTCCCGAGTGAATGTGAATGTGAATTGCTGAATGTCATCTAAAATTTTCGTGACGGTCTTCCCACTCAGCTTGATAGTTACCATCAGAATGTAAACAAAATGCTAAGAACTTTATCATTAAATTTTTGCCCACTTACACCATTCCAAAGGGACTTGCAGTCTGGAGTTAAGAACAGAAAATTCTCTTTGGAACAATTCGTTTGCACAATTGAGTAGGTAATTAGAAAGTTCCATCCAGCCACCACCTGAAACAATTTCAGATTGAATATTTAAAGGGCGGTTTAAACATTATTCGCTGTGGGATATGAAAGTTATGAGGAGGTTAGAAAACTGTGTGGCAATATAAAAAGTGCTCAAGAAATATAAATTATTATTACTAGGCAAAAAAATGCTGAATAAACATTGAGCACCTTAACACTCTCACATTTCTCACACACACACACACACACACACATACTATACACACACAGACATACCACTAGCCATCTGAAAATTACAAGCAATATATATATTTTGCTATTTTTCAGCCAGTTTTGGAAATCCTAACAATAGTTCCTCTGCCAGGCTGCAGAGAGAAAGGTTTACTGAATTTCATAAAATAATAATGCCCTTCTAGATGGACAAAGAAAACTTTGGAGGGGAGTGGTCTTTACTGCTGGGTCCTCAGGCTCCCAGGTTACCAAGCAGTAAGATTTCTCCTACTTTATTCTGGGCCTCTCCCACCCTGATAGCTCTATATGGACATCACTGAGTAAAGCATGCTCACATGAAAGCAAGTTGTAAGGTTCATTAAATGCAGAGAATGTTACTGACCAAAGGGAATCACTCATAATAAGAGGCTGAAATACAAGTGACCCAGTCAACTATCAGAAAAGTCTGGGTGGGCGAGGCGTGGTGGCTTGTGCTTGTAATCCTAACACTTTGGGAGACCAAGACAGGCGGATCACCTGAAGTCAGGAGTTCAAGACGAGCCTGGCCAACTTGGGGAAACCTTGTCTCTACCGAAAATACAAAAATTAGCCCAGTGTGGTGGCAGGTGCCTGTAATTCCAGCTATTCGGGAGGCTGAGGCAGGAGATCTCTTAAACTTGGGAGGTGGAGGTTGCAGTGAACTGAGATAGCGCCACTGCACTCCAGCCTGGGCAAGAGAACAAGACTCTGTCTCAAAAAAAAAAAAAAAAAAAAAAAAAAAGGAAGAAATTCTGGTTGTACTGAATCATTAAGAAGATTTGTAGCTGAGCGCAGTGGCTCAGGCCTGTAATCCCAGCATTTTGGGAGGCCGAGGTTGGAGGATCACTTGAGGTTGGGAGTTCGAGACCAGCCTGGCCAACATGGTGACCCCTCATGTACTAAAAATACAAAAATTAGCCAGATGTGGTAACGCATGCCTGTAATCCCAGTTCCTTGGGAGGCTGAGGCAGGAGAATCGCTTGAACCTGGGAGGCAGAGGTTGCAGTGAGCCAAGATCGTACCACTGCTCCAGCCTAGGCAACAGAGCGAGACTGTCAAACAAAACAAAACAAAACAAAAAACAAACCAAAAAAAACCAACAAAAAAACAGATTTATGGATATTTACTTTTTTTTTTTTCTGATGATACAGGAACTGTAACTTAGTGGGTAGCCAGAAAGCCACGCCGACCGTTGTAGACACAATGTAATATTTTGGAGCAGCGTTTAACTCATGATGACTAGGTGATAGTAGAGTTTTCTGAAAATCCTAAGGCCACTATGACTTTTCTTTTCACTGTCTCTAGGAAGAGCCTGTAATGACGATTACCCATTTGTTAAAATCAAACGTCAAAGGAAGGGGGTCTGATTAGACATCTTTTCTCACTTTACATGTTGCGGTATCCGACTCACTTTGACTAAGGAGAAAGCCCTTTGCTTCCTGTGCTAGTCACATGAAAACACCACCAGCCATGCAATCATACATTTTAAACATAAAGATCTAACACATTTTAGTAATACTATGTGACCTAGAGAATTAAAGAACAAACCTGTCTTTGGGCCCGTTTTACTTCACTAAGCGTGAAGAGGGAGGAATGTTGAGTGTTGTTGTTAAAGTACTGAACGCCGTGTCTCAGAATGGGCTCCAGGTCTGGGCTCTGCGTTGATATAGGATGCACACAGCCGAGGCAGTTATACTGGGCTGTCACCACAGGGCCCTCGGCTTAGCAAAGAGCAGACAAACAGACAAAAACGCAGCATTAATGATTACAATCAGCATTCACATACATTGCCCTAAACAAAGAAGAGGCTGGGCATGGTGGCTCACTCCTGTAAAACCAGCACTTTGGGAGGCTGGGGCGGTAGATCGCCTGAGGTCAGGAGTTCAAGACCAGCCTGGCCAACATGGTGAAACCCCATCTCTCCTAAAAATACAAAAATTAGCCGGGCATGGTGGCGTATGCCTGTAGTCACAGCTACATGGGAGGCTGAGGCAGGAGTATTGCTTGAACCCAGGAGACGGAGGTTGTAGTGAGCAGAGATCATGCCACTGCACTCCAGCCTGGGAGACAGAGCAAGACTCTGTCTCAAAAGAAAAAAAAAAAATTGCAGACCATTCATCCCACAAGGGACTAACATCCAGCATATATAAGGAATTTAATCAACTCACCAATAAAAAAACCAAGTAGTCCCGTTAAAAAGTAGGCAAAGGATCTCAGTAGGCATTTCTCAAAAGAAGACATACAAATGGCCAACAGGTATGTGAAAAAATGCCCAATATCACTAAGCATTAGGAAATGCAAATCGAAACCATTATGAGATGAGATATCATCTTACCCATTAGAATGGCTATTATTAAAAAGAGTTTGTATTAAATTACCAAGTAATGTTCATAACAGATAGCCCTAACCTACTGGTCAATAGAGGCAAAGTCCATAAAAAGGTAACGTAGCTGAAGAGTGAGCGGCACACCTGGAGGGACCCCCTGGGAGGCTGGGCTTCTTCACCCACCAAGCTCTCGCTGCTTGCCGTGTAAGCAGCAAACACAGCTAGGAGGGTATGGAGAAAAGGGAACGCTTATACACTGTTGGTAAGAATGTAAATTAGTACAACCACTATGGAAAATAGTGTGGAGATTTCTCAAAAAATGAAAACACCAAATACCATATATCCAGTAGTCCAGCTACTGGGCATCTACCCAGAGGAAAAGAAATCAGTCTATCAAAGGGGCACTTCCACTCCCAGCTTTGTCGCAGTAGTATTCACAATAGCAAAGATATGAAATCAACTTAAGTGTCCATCAAAGGGTGAATGAATAAACAAAATGTGGGGGACCAGGCACGGTGGCTCACACCTGTAATCCTAGCACTATGAGGCCAGCAGATCACCTGAGGTCAGGAGTTCGAGACCGGCCTGGCCAACATGGTGAAACCCCATCTCTACTGAAAATACAAAAATTATCCGGGCGTGGTGGCGGGTGCCCATAATCCCAGCTATTCAGGAGGCTGAGGCCGGAGAACTGCTTGAACCCCAGAGGTTGCATTGAGCCAAGATCGTGCCATTGTACCCCAGCCTGGGTGACAGTGCAAGACTCCATCACCAAAAAAAAAAAAAAAAAAAAAAAAAAAGAAAATGTGGTATATATGCATAATGAAATACTATTTGGCCATAAACAAAGAATGAAGTCATATCATTTAAAGCCACATGGACAGAACTGGAGGTCGTTCAGTGAAACAACCGAAGTACATTGTTCTCACTCATATGTGGAAGGTAAAACACTTAATCACATGGAGATAGAGGAGAGAAGAGAATGACTGATACCAGAGGCTGAGCAGGGTAGGGAAGTAGAAGGGGGAAATGAAGAGCTTGGTAAAATAGGTACTGAATTATAGTTAGATAGAAGAAATATGTTCTAATATTATATAGCAGACTAGGGTGACTGTAGTTAGCAACAATATATTGTATATTTCAAAGTAGCTAGAAGAGAGGACCTGAAATATTACCAATTCATAGAAATGATAAATATTCCGGGTGATGGGTACCCCAAATACTCTGACTTGATCATTACATGTTCAACGCATGTAAAAAACACTCACATGTACCTCATAAATATGTAAAATATAATGTATCAGTAAAAGAAAAAAAGAAGGAGAAGTTAATACATGTAAGGAGCTTCGAGTCATGGCTGGGACATAAGGACTCAATACATGTTAGCTATTATTTTTATCCTTATTGTTGCTAATATGTTATTATGATTAATATGTTAGTATGTTGATTGTACCTCCAGACATATCATCTCATTTCAGCCTCACGACAGTCCTGTGAGGTGGGAAGTACTGTTACCTCCCTTTTCTAGACAACGAAAAGGACAGCCAAGAAGGCGAGGAGCTCTGAAAGATTCCAGGCCAGGTCTGCCCTCAAAGCCTAAGCACTCCTCACTCTGGGATGCTGCCTACAATAGAAGGCAGGCAGGTCTTGTGTCTCCTGGTCCTTCTGCAGAGCTCTTGCACACACCAGGTACAATGTAGCACACGGGAAGAGTTGGGATAGTCCTAAGGGCATGAGGGTCACAAGCCTGGCCCACCCTCCGGGCTCTGCCGCTCCACCCAATGCTCCCTAATTGTGCAAATGGCTTTACTACTGCCGCCCTCTGGGAGCAAGCAGAGCCTGGTCAAGGTTGTGTTCCTCGCACACAGAAGTGGTTAATTTCCCACCAGGGCAGTGCCAGAGGATAAACCAGCTACCTGGAGTAATCTGGCAGGTCTGGGTAGCCACAGAGAATTTCATACTCGCCCTCTTCCCCACGGTTGCCGTGCATTCTCCAGTGGCCTAAAAAGAAAAGAAAGAGATCATTTATCCTAGTCTTTCACATGGGAAAGTCTACCTAGTACTGTTGCTAAATGTGGCTTTCCTTAAAAAACAAAACAAAACAGAACTTGTGAAGATTTTATCCAAAAGAGTTTTGAGACATGAGAATAAATGTTTTTTTATAGCCTAATGATTACATAAGCCACTGATATTCATGAGATGTTGGAGAAAAGACAGTGTAAAAAGGTTTTAAAGGTTGAGTCTTTGTTTTGAGCCCTGGAGGTATTTCTTTTTTCTTTTTCTTTTTTATTTTATTTTATTTTTTAAGACAGAGTGTCACTCTTGTTACCCAGACTGGAGTGCAATAGTGAGATCTCAGCTTACTGCAACCTCTGCCTCCCAGATTCAAGCGATTCTTCTGCCTCAGCCTCCCAAGTAGCTGAGATTACATGTGCGTGCCACCACGCCCAGCTAATTTCGTATTTTTAGTAGAGACGGGGTTTCACTACGTTGGTCAGGCTGGTCTCGAACTCCTGATCTCAAATGATCCAATAACCTCAGCCTCCCAAAGTGTTAGGATTGCAGGCATGAGCCACTGTGCCTGGCTGAGCCCTGGAGCTATTTCTTTCTAACCAAGATGGATGCAGAGGTCTAGAACCAGCCTGGTAAACACTCCTGTTATCTACCTCTCAACTTTACTGAGTTAATACTGTTCATATAAACTTCATTTTAACTTAATAGAAAGGGCAAGGACCTTGGCGTCAAAATGTTTTTTGGTTCCAGCCTTGTCAGTTGCTAGCTGTTACCTATGTCATGTCCCCTTGACTCTCGAAGTCTCAGTTTACCCATCTTGTAGGAGATGGGACACATCTATCTCTTAGAGTTGTTGTGAACAGTATGTGTGCAAACGCACGCTGTGTTTGCCTACTAGAGGCCCACCACAGAGCAGGCACTTAACAATAGGCAGTTGTTTAATTGTTATTGTTGAACAGTGTTTTTGTTTTGTTTTGTCTTGTCATTCTTCAGTCATATCCATTGGATTCTAAGTGACAGATATTATTCCATCAGGATAGAGCACACCTCCCTTTATCCACACAGCCTCTAGAAGCAGGCAGCACAGGGCACAGCAGCTACTTATCCCCACCCTGCAGATGAGACGATTGAGAAGGGAGAACCAGCACTGCAAACTCCTAGACTCCTGACTTGGAGTTCAGTGCTGCTCGGTAACTGCAGATGACTGACAGTCATCTTTTACATTCTGACATAAAAGAAGGGAATCAATCCATGAAAAACGAGGCTTGCTTCCGAGGCAGATACTGTCTGAAATCTTCCTTAACTAAAGCAAAACAACCAGCTATGGTGTGCCAGGCCTATATGTTAGGCATTTGGTTAAGATAGGCCTTGTTATCAAAGTTATTTGCATAATTCATCTGATTTCATCCTCCAACAACCTGATGAGGTCAGTATTATCTCCCATATACAGCGGAGAGTGCCAGTTCTGAGAGGTCACAGCTCACCCGCTATCACACAGCCAATGGAAGGCAGAGTCAAGATTTGCAATCAAGGTTGTGCAATGGAAGCACCCAGGCCCTCCCCTCGCCAGCCCTTCGGCTCGGCCCAAATGTCCATCTGTTGTCTCTCTGGAGTCTGAGCCACATGTTCTGACTTGGACACTAGAGCTCCCTTCTCATGGAAAGGCTTTCTCCATGTTTAACTGCTGGCTTCTCCACAATTTTTCTGTCTATACAAGAACACAGATACAAAGCATCTGACTTTTCTACACATTGGAATGTTTATTTGCATTTCTCATAAACAGGCTCACCAGTAGTCATCATTTCTGCAGGAGTAAAAAGATCTGGCAGAGTCAACGGAGAAAACAGAAGACCCAAGAATGGCCAATACACTTACCGCTTCTGCAGCATCCTTGTAGTCACAGTCCTGCCAGGTTTTGCCACTTTGAACAGGACAATCCCCCTCCTTGATTTCATACTTGAAGGAATAAAATGTGTCAGAGCGAACCTGAAAAGCAGCCAAAGATACTCAGGGTTCATCCAACTGACCCGATAGCAAATAATTCTAGTGGGTTCCAGTAAAGTTAGGAATATTGATCTTTGACTTGAGAGCAAAGCATTCACTTAAAATATATTTATATTTGTATCATAAACATTTATGTGAAAGAATGTTTATAACATACTCACAATGTCGTTTTAAAGGTTACAAAGCAGTATGCATAGTATTAGCCCATTTTTGTAAAAACCGGTTTATATATAAATCTATGTTTTTTAAAAGTCTGGAAAGATGCACAGCAAGCTGTTAAAATGTTTGTCTGTCAGTGGTGAGATTATAATTATCTTTCACATTCTTCTTCAAGCAAACATTTCTAAGTGACCTTTTCCCCTAATGAACATATGTGACTTTTACGAATTAGAAAAAGCAAACAAGAAAACCTTAAACAAATGTTAACAGTTATCTCTGTATGGTGGCATTAATTATGGGTGATTTTAGTACTTTTATTTGGTTTGTTTTGTTACCTACTTTTTCTTTTTTAAACAGCTTTATTGAGATATAATTGACGTGCCATAAAATTTACCCTCTAAAGGTATACAGTTTAATGTTTTTTGTATATTTACAACCGTACCCACCACAATCTATTGGGTACCACACCACAAATAAACTGTTGCTTGAGATTACCATGAAGCAGAATTTCTCACATGACTGTACTAGATTGTGAAACAAAATGGCTCAATTTTATTTTCAGAAAAAATAACATGTCCACTGTGTTTATTTTCCTTTATCCCCATGTTGTCATATGGTTAGTTTTTTTTTTTTTCTGCTAAAGTAACCAATTGCTTAGCTGTCCCAGAGATGTAGTCTTTTATAGTGAAATTTGTTTAAACATACTCTTGAAAGATTGGTATTTCTTTGAACCATGCATCCTGCGAGGATTTATCTCCTATTGGAGTACATCATTGCAATAATATCAAAAACAAACATTGCTGTTAAACCTGGTACATTCAGCCATACAGACTTCTGTCTAATTCCGTAGAATTGCACTAAACTCATTCCTGACTCCTCTTAGACACGACCCATTCAGTATCCCCTCCCATTTAAGGTTTGGAGGTCTGTATTTTTTAGCCTAGGGCCAGAGACCCAGTGAATTCTTTTGCTGCAGTCTAACTAAATTCCTAAATTCTCCCTCTCTACTTGGTCCCGTTCAGATTTCTCCATTTACTTTTGTTTCATTTCACCCTAGATTCTACTTCTCTGATCAGGAAGCCATTCTGCCTGAGGACGAGTCATACTCTGCCCTCCCACCCCAGGCCAGAGAGTGGTGTCATACTCTGCCCTCCCACCCCAGGCCAGAGAGTGGTATCAGTCTTTCCACAAGTTGTAATTTTTAAGATTTGATGATCACATCTTTGGTGGTGGTGGGGTGGTGGTGGTGGGGTGGTGGTGCTGGGGGTGGTGGTGGTGGGGTGGTGGTGGTGTGGGGTGGTGGTGGTGGGTAGTGGTGGTGTGGTGGTGTGTGTGTGTGTGTGTGTGTGTGTGTGTGTGTGTGAGGCCTGGGCTCCTAGTGACAGTACAAATCCCAAGTGACTTCAAGGTTAAACACAGTTCACTCACCATCTTAGTGGTTTAGAAGTTATGCGGTACAGTACGAACTGGTTGTTACTTTGGTTTTGACTGTTATATTTCTTCAGAGCAGCATCCACAGCTTTAAATAAATCCTTATCATTGCAGTCAATTTCCTCGGACTGTGATTCCTGGGTTAAACTTAGTAGCAGCCTGGAGCAGAGGAAAAGGATGATAATTAGTTTCATGATCTAACAGTCTCCTCTAGGAGCTGGAGAGGGGTGGTTTCACCAAGAATCAAGAGGCGACTGATACTGAATTTGACACCCCAGCTCTCGCTTTTCTGTCCTCCTCTGCCTCAGCACTCAGGGCACTGGGTTGGATTCCTTGCTGCTATACGCCTTAGCTGTCTGTTCCCAAAGGTTAAATGGCTCTGCTGGGTTATCCAACATATTTACGTGCTAGAACATTGCAAATACTACAGCACCTGTCGGTCTGCATTTCATGGAAAATCACGAGGAGCACAGTGCATATTTCCAGGTGATTATACAACTTTATGTAGCAAATCAGAGCAGAATCTGATGGAGGGTGCAAGTACTTACTAACTCGGTTATTCTCCTGTGACTTTCACAAAGCCATTTGTGAAGGTCACTACATGGGTAAACAGTGCAAGAATGAGTACAATGCATATGTTTTACAGAATCTCTTTTGGTGATACTTACCTGCATAGAAGCAGACTGGGTTATTAATTCTATTACATGCATAAGAAGCTCACGCCTAGGCAGCCAGTGAGTCTGGGAGTCTCATGCAGGATGTTGACACAACTGAAAATAAAACAGGTGTCCTATCTGGTCTCCTGGACAGGCCAGCTTTTTCTGTCAATTGCATCAGTTCTAAAAGCAAAAATTGTTCCCAGGGTGGAGTTGATAGAGGAGAAGCATAGAAAGAGATGGGCTGCAAGCCCTGGATTCCTTATGCTTGCTTCTTTCTCTGTTTGGTGGTGTTGGTTTGGCGAGAAAAGATAGCCCCAAATATGGCTCTTGCATGCTGGTATTTTTGAACTGAAGGACCTTAAAAAGGCTGCAAAACAAAGCCTATTTCTGCTTTCTCCTCCTGCCTGTCTTTCCCTGCTCCATTCTTCCCCTCAAGGCAGGCCAATGGAAGCTAATTTCTTCCCAAGGCAGGTCATAGAACCCTTCTCCTCAAAATCAGCAATAAAATCCTTATTATTCTTATTTTCCTCACATCAACACAGAGTGGGGAACCATATTACAGAATGGCCCTCCTCTGTAGGCCAACATTGGAAAACTACAATTGATCTTCTCAACAGATGTGTGAGACTTGATGGTATCAACATCCTTACTCCTAAAGGATAAATACTGGCCGGGTGTGGTGGCTCACACCTGTAATCCCAGCACTTTGGGAGGCCGAGGCGGGTGGATCACCTGAGGTCAGGAGTTCGAGGCCAGCCTGACCAACATGGAGAAAACCCATCTCCACTAAAAATACAAAATTAGCCGGGCGTAGTGGCACATGCCTGTAATCCCAGCTGCTCGGGAAACTGAGGCAGGAGAATTGCTGGAACCTGGGAGGTGGAGATTGCAGTGAGCTGAGATCACACCACTAGATTCCAGCCTGGGCAACAAGAGCAAAATACGGTAAAAAAAAAAAAAAAAATCAGCCTATTCTACCCTGCTCCTGTTCAGACTTTAATTTTTTAAAAATCTGTAGAACCATGTTCATGATGATAAACCTACTTTTCTTTTTCTTTTCTTTTTCCTTTTTTTTTTTTTTTGACAGACGTAGATGTTTAATTATTCACCCTTTCCTTTTTTCTGATGTGGTTTCATAAAGAAAATCTTTATGCCTACTCCATAAAATAGAACAAAGATTTCTTGGAGAGATGTAAAACATGGCTGTGCATCTTATTTTATATACACTTATATAATAAATTTCAGTTAATTTATTCTTAGATTCTATAGCCTAATTTTTTTTTTTGAGACAGAGTCTTGCTCTGTGGCCCAGGCTGTAGTGGTGGCACCTCAGCTCATTGACCTCCCAGGCTCAAGCAATTCTTTTCTGCCTCAGCTTCCCAAGCAGCTGGGATTACAGGGACTTACACTACACCCAGCTAATTTTTGTATTTTTAGTAGAGATGGGATTTCACCATATTGGCAGGCTGGTCCTGAACTCCTGACCTCCAGTGATCTCGGCCTTGGCCCCCACAAAGTGCTGGAATTACAGGTGTGAGCCACTGCACCCAGATGCTGTGCCTAATATTAAAAGCTAGAAATGACTAAGTCTCAGCCCTGGAGTCCTAACTACAAGAGCATCTTTAAATTCATTCAAGGTTGATTGAACTGGATATGACTTTACTTTTCTGCCAAATCATATTACTCCCTAATTCTTGGAAAAGTTTTCATACTTTTTGTGTGATACTAGCAATTGCACTCTTTTCCCCAGGAGTGTTGTATCTCTTCCCCTGCTCCTTTCTCACACACACACACACACACACACACCCACCCACCCAGAGCCATAAGAATGAAATACACTATGTGTGCAAATACCACTTAGTCTGGTACTGCCCATAACAAAGCCTACTAGAAAACCCACCTGAGGGTTGAAGACTTCACAGTTTATGACATCGTAGGACAAATCTGCTGTGCAGAATCCAAAGACTTTCAAAGAAGAGAGAAGGCTGTGTGTATGTGTGTGTGCGCACATGTGCGCACTGAAGATGCCCAGCCAGAGTTGTGAGCTTCCAGTCATTCAGCAAAGGAAGAGGAGCTTTAGAAAAATCAGAGTAATATGATCAGATAGCCCCACCAGTGGGTCACCAGTCTCCCCCATGTACACGTTGATGAAAGCCCAGGTGGTGAAGGGTGTCGTTTAAGTTGTTGTGGTTTTCTTCCATGGAGGAAAGTGTTGAACAAAAGGGAACCTGTATAGCATAAAGATGGATTTTCATGGACCCTGCCAAGATAAGTGTCTGCTGGCTCTACCCTGTGTACAAGGGCTACAATTGGCTGGCACGCCTGTGCTCCAGAGGCCCCTAAACCCAGCTGTGAAAGATAAACTGAGACAGGAGGATGGCTGTCTGCTAGACATGAGCAGGCATCAGCACTGGGCATCCCCGTGGGTGGTGGTGAGGAAAACCACATCAACCCTTTTGCACTGGAGACCTCAGTTGCCTGTGCTTCAACACCATTCTTCATTCTGCCTGTCACAAAATGTACCACCTAAGTGATAAGGTGAATACTATTTCACTGAAAAGGTTCAAATGATATGAACAAAAACAGAGTGTGAAAAATCACCCATCCCGCACCTCAGCTTCTTCTCAGAGGTACCACTATCATTCATTTTATATGCTTCTCCTAGCCTTCTATTCACTTCACAGCTTGTATACACTGCAGTCTAACTTTGCATTTTCTTTTCTTTGCTTTCTTTCTTTCTTTTTTTTTTTTTTTGAGATGGAGTCTCACTCTGCCGCCTAAGCTGGAGTGCAGTGGCGCGATCTCGACTAACTGCAACCTTCACCCCTGAGGGTCAAGCGATTCTTCTGCCTCAGCCTCCCAAGTAGCTGGGTGTACAGGTGCACACCACCACACTCGGTTAGTTTTTTTTTTGCATTTTTAGTAGAAACGGGGTTTCACCATGTTGTCCTGGGTGGTCTTGAACTCCTGACCTCAGGCAACCTTGGCCTCCCAAAGTGCTGCGATTACAGGCATAAGCCACCATGCCTGGTCTGACTTTGCATTTTCTAAATGCATGACAAACATCAACCAACTGGCAATATCTCTTATGTCTGTTCCTCATTCTCATTGCCCTAATTGCCACTGCTCCGGTCTGGCCCTCATTCCTGCATACATAAGATAACTTCCAAGTTCATGTCCCTATCTCCTGCCTCAGTTTCCTCAGGCACACTGGGGCCTCTCCCGCTCACCCACTCTGTGTGCTAGCTCTCAGAGGTAGCTCTGTGCTGACGCATGCTGTGCTATAACCTGGAGCAGAGTCTGGGATGGGAGTAAGGGTCACTGAATAGAATCGTAAATTCCAGCACTCCTGTTCTCTGTAACTTGCAGCGCTCCCTCTGTGATACATTAAGAAGGGTACATTGCTTTGCAGTACTCCTGCAGTACTCTGTAGTACTCCTGGTCTGTCCTCCTGATTTCAGTTGTTTCACCAAAGAGGGAGTAGTTTGTTTTGGGAGAGAGGACGGAGGCTTCATGTCTTTCCATGGTGTCTATCAGCCACTCAGTCCACTGCAGGTAAGCAAATAATCGAAGTGAAAACAGTAGCCTTGCTTTGCCTTAAGATGAGCCCGGAGGCTCATCTCCCAAATAATGACAGCTCCAGAGCCCACACAGAACTTCTGGAACCCCCACTGCTTATATTCACTTGTTCCCCAACACCCTTCTTTCTGATTCCCTACTCACCTAGAAGTAGTGGTGCCAGGAATTCACCAGGAATGCCTTTACCCAGACCCTCTTCCTATGCAAATCCTACCCATGTATCGCTAGCAAGCTGAAGCCTCCCCACATGCAATCCTTTTTTTTTTTTTTTTTTTTTTTTTTTTTTTTTTTTTTTTTTTTTTGAGACGGAGTCTCGCTGTCTCGTCCAGGCTGGAGTGCAGTGGCGCAATCTTGGCTCACTGCAAGCTGTGCCTCCCAGGTTCACGCCATTCTCCTGCCTCAGCCTCCCAAGTAGCTGGGACTACAGATGCCCGCCACCGCGCCCGGCTAGTTTTTTTATTTTTTTTTATTTTTAGGAGAGACGGGGTTTCACCATGTTAGGCAGGTTGGTCTCAAATTCCTGACCTTGTGATCCGCCCGCCTCGGCCTCCCAAAGTGCTGGGATTACAGGCGTGAGCCACCGCGCCCATCCCCCATGCAATCCTAATAGATCCCCCTTCATTACATAGCCCCAGGACATTTACCACTCCCGTGTTCACTCGAATATTGTTGGGACCCAGAACACAATATTCCAAACTATGGTGCCTTGATATGCTGAGTCCTTTGAACTGAAGGAAACCAAAAGGGCCTCAGAAGCGAGATCTGTTTGACCTTCTCCCACTCTACTTTCTCCTGCTCTCCTTTCTCTCTTAAGGCAACATAGAAACTAGAAATCTTCTTCCTCCAGGCAGGTCACAGAAAGTGAAATACCTCTGCCCCCAAAATAACCATAAAACCTAAAATATAGCTCTACCCTCCCTGCTGCGTCTTTCTTTGTAGGAGCTGGCTGTAAAGAA